CCTGCTGACCTCATCTCCAGCAAGCCCTCTCAGAATATGCAGAAGGCTCTAATGCGGTCCAACCACGATTGCCACACACCACACTGGCTTACCATCCCCTTCTATATTTCCCTGTGTGGGCAGCCAGCCTGTAGTAGCCACTGTCTTCTGGCAACATGGTTGCCAAGGAGTCTGGGCGTGAACAGATGCTTCAGGTCTTCTGAGGACACTCTGCAGTCATCACCCTGATATCTTTAGGCTACAGTCCAGAGGTGTTTAACTCTTTCTGTTCCCAGCTTCTGTTTGCCCATTCGCTTCACTGTGTGGCTTCTAATTCCCACACAGTGCAGGGTCACTTTAAGGCAGGCCACCCGCACTGTACTGTACAAGTGCTCTGCCCTCAACGTGCCTCTCCTTCCTGAGTCAGACTGACACTGCTTGACTTGCTCTAGCCATGCCCCCGTCCTTCTCTAGCAGAATGCCTATAATAGGAAAAACTTTAAGAAGAACACATCACAAAGCTAGGTACCCAACAATCGGTGACTTAAATGCAACGTGAGTCATTAATATAGCAGAATACTATTTGACCAGTAAAAATGGCAGTATAGTATTTAAAATAACAAGAATAACAAGCTCACTATACACTGTAGTGAAAAAATCACAAAATAAGTTCCTTCAACTGAATATGTAACAAGATCCCATCAATTATGTCTCTAGCTTATAGAATTACAGTTGTTTTTTTTCCTTTTTATGAACCATATCTTATAATCTCTTTAAATGATTATATATTGTTTGGGGAAAATAAAGCAATCAACATGAAAGGGTAAAAATACTGTAATGAAAAAGCTGCATAGTTTGCAAGAGCACTGTGCCTGGCCCCTGTGTGTTCCATCAAGGTAGGCCTGCTGGGCCTACAGGCTGAACATGTGTTGGGACTTTGTGTTCCGCTCCTTCTGTTACAAAGCCATGCTTTCCCAGGAGCCAGGTCTATAGAGCCGCTAGCCTATTTCAGTCATGGAACTGCCCTACAGGAGGTGCATTCTGTGGCTCCAAACAAGCTGCTGGATTAGTGGTCGTCCAGCCTTTGGCAGAAAAACCTCTTGCTATCTCCGGACGGCACTTTACATAAAATGTCTTGTAAACAAAAGCCCTGTTGTCAGACTGAGACCTCTGATCTAATTACATCTCCTACTTCCTTGTCCAAGTCCTCTTCCCCAGAGCTTTCACCATAGCTCTTGAAGCTGTTTTGCAGGTTTTTCAAAGTGATAGATTGACAAACTAGTCATAGGTGTTTTTAAGAAAGCATCTTCTGGCTGGGCAGTGGTGGCGCACGCCTTTAATCCCAGCATTCAGGAGGCAGAGGCAGGTGGATCTCTGTGAGGTCAAGGCCAGCCTAGTCTACAAAAGCTAGTTCCAGAACAGCCTCCAAAGCCACAGAGAAATCCTGTCTCAAAAACACCAGAAGAAGAAGAAGAAGAAGAAGAAGAAGAAGAAGAAGAAGAAGAAGAAGAAGAAGAAGAAGAAGAAGAAGAAGAAGAAAGCCACAGAGAAACCCTGTCTCAAAAACACCAGAAGAAGAAGAAGAAGAAGAAGAAGAAGAAGAAGAAGAAGAAGAAGAAGAAGAAGAAGAAGAAGAAGAAGAAGAAGAAGAAGAAGAAAGCCACAGAGAAACCCTGTCTCAAAAACACCAGAAGAAGAAGAAGAAGAAGAAGAAGAAGAAGAAGAAGAAGAAGAAGAAGAAGAAGAAGAAGAAGAAGAAGAAGAAGAAGAAAGAAAGAAAGCATCTTCTATTCCAGCAAAAGATTTGTTACTTTTACTTCTGGAACATGCCCATGGGTTACATGCATTCTTGACTTCCTTGAGGTCCAAGCTTGCTCAATGGAGAAAAGTTTCCTTTCCATATCCACCTACAAACCCAGACTTCTACAAACCCAGACTTCTCCCTTCGTCTCTGCTGACCTCTAACCCCTTAAATGACCTGAGTATTCCTTCATCTTTAGTTCAACATAGTATCTTACATACAGACTGTACAGCACTTTAGCAGTAAATATAATTTTATCATTTTGTAATATAAAATCCAACCTAGCCTACAAACTCTACTTAACAGAGCTCTGCTAATAGGACCGAAAACTCCCACTCAGCTATGGGTATGTCTGCACCTTCCCCTTTCTACAGAGTTGAGAAATCCTGATGGAGGCAGAAGGAGGAATCAAACAATAGACAACATTAGAATTCAGGCAATGGAATGTCTATTATAAATCCTAAATTAAGAAGACCTATGAATCCTCTAGGTAATGTTACCTCAAAAGAAATCTAACTCTACTGATTTCAGCTTCAGGTCTATTGGTAGGAGAGGGTAGTGTGTTGTCCAGTGGAAAGTAATGGACATTACTTGAAATCCCTGAATCCCAGACAATATGTTAGCACCTGGAGCTAAAGAGCTGTGTTTCCGAACAAAACTTCCAATCTTCCATTTGCAACTTCTCTAGGAAAGTAAAACTCGGCAGAAGAAGTCAGCATTCCAGCTGGCAGAAAAAGAGCCAATCCACCCAAAATACAGAAAGAGCACCAAGGCTCATTCCAGATGCTAAGCACAAAGCTAACAGTATTTGGAGCTGAGTATGGTAAGCAACCACACATCAAAGACAGCTACTCTTAAAGTGGGAATTCTGGGACAGTCACTAGTCTGAACCAACAAACAGGAACACAGGCAACTCAGAAGGAGATGGGGCTTGAAGTGAGAGGAAGGACAAGATGACCACTGAAAGCAAAGAAGAAGTGGTTATTCCACTGTCTGGACCCAAGTAAGAGCACAAAGGAGTCAGTAGAAGCAGGAACAAGATGGTGGAGGAAGAGAAGATAGAAATATAGTCATTAATAGGAGACTCAGCTAGAAATGAGACACGGATTATTTATTGTTTTCTTGTCGTTTGTTCTGGCCATAGTAAGGACCATATATATCTCTGAAGTTATCATGCCACAGAAATCCATGTACCGGCAGCCTCTTCCCATGGTGGTCCACTTTAGATGAAACACTGCACTCAGAATGCTGTCATATCATTGGATGCCTCAGCATTGTCACTGGTGCACACCTGTAATTCAAGCGCTCAAGTGATAGAGGCAAGAGGATTCAGAGCTAAAGATCACCCTGAGCTACACAGCTAGCCTGTCTTAAAAATGATTTTAAAACAAATGTGTTTAAGCAGTAAGTCCCAGGGGATAAAGGAGAATATACTATAGACTCAAAAGTCATGTAATTTATTGTATTAATATGCGCACTAAAGTGAGGATAGAGTTCAAAATTTATATAAATATTGAATACATGTAATATTAATATTTGCAAAGGTCTTTCGAACAAGTTTTAGCTTTTAAAGTGTGATTTTATTATTGAATGGCAAAGCTATTACAGTATATGCTGGTCAGCCCTCTTAAGTTTGGGCAGAAAGGGCCTGCGGGAGGGTCTCAAGTAAGAAGCGCAGGGCTTCGCTCTGTTCTAGTCCCCTTCCCAAAACATCACTGCTGGATACAGAAGGAAGATTCCAATCATCACTATAGACAGTGAAGTGCCATTAACTTGTACTAAAAAAAATACATAGGTGTATTTTTTCTAAAATAGAACTTTCAGTCGGACAGAAAGTTTACATCAAAATGCAAAATATGGAGTCCTCGAGAACAGAACAACCTAAATACAGGTCTGCAGGACCTGGAGAAGTGAGCAAAAAGGTAGTAGAGTTCCAAAGATTTAAAATAGAGACACTTGACTTTAGAGCGAAGATGGAGCTTGGGGGTACTTTTTCCCTTGTGCTCTTATTGAATTGACACTGGTGTAATGTTGAACATAATGGCATACAATCTCCCACCCACAAACAATGTGTAAATTGAAAGGTTCTGCTTCCCTGGTGGCCTACAGGACAGTCTTCCTTACAATTTCCAGGACAAGAGTGACCACGCAATGGTGCTGTGTGGCCCATAAATGACTAACTGTCTCTGGCCATTATCCTTGTCAGCTGACTCCATCCACCTCTTGGGGGGTGGCCTCCCAGTCTCTGCCCATTTCAAGCATGCTTTCACTACAAAATTTTATTCTTATCATACAGCATGTCAATCACACTTTATAACATGAAGGTATATGGAGCTAGAAAGAATTTATGTCTCAACAAAGACACTAATCAACTAGTGAGATACATATTTAAAGGCCAGTCTATATTTAATTTCAACTTTTCACTTTGTAGGGATGTGGTTTGTCTTTGTTTTGTTTTTTGTTTGTTTTTGTTTTACAAGACAAGCTTTCTCTATGTAACAGCCCTGGCTGTCTTGGAACTCACTCTGTAGACCAGGCTGGCCTCAAACTCACAGACATCCACCTGCCTCTACCTCCCAAGTGCTGGGATTAAAGGCTTACATCACCACCGCTCACCTGTCTCTGTTTTACTAATGTGAACTTTGGCTTTTTTTATCAATACGTAATTTGAAATATGTAATTCTCTAAGACATAAGTAGGATTTGCAGCTATTACACTCATTCTTATAGCAAAGGTGCTCAAACAAAATGACTTTTTTGTTCCTTTCATTGTTTGTTTTCTGAGACAGGGTCTGGCTGTGCAACTCAGGCTGGCTTTCAACTCTTCATCCTCCTACCTCAGCTGAGAACATAGGTGTGTGTCACCAAACCAGGCTCAAATTTATTTTATTCTTCTAAATTTAAGGACTTAAGAACACCCCTAATATAATACGTCAACAATGTCTTCTTGCTAGAGCAAACAACTTTATTGGTATTAAATATTTGATATTTTTACAAGTCTGTAGGCACTACCAGTATACAAGTAAGTAATAATGACTAGTACCAAAGTATGTTTTAAAATATTTTTGTCTAGGTACCTTCATTTTCAACCTTTACTCAGTGATGTTACCTCTAAGAAAAGTTCTCATTCAATGTTTTATTAAGCAACAGAATAGCAGAAAGATAAAAGATGAATAAAAACGACGTTAAGTATAAGTATTCATTTGTGAAGGGCTACTTACTCTTTTGACTTCCTCTTAGAGGGTATATCCTGAGTTTCTCAATAATGTCAACCACAATCAGGGACAACAGAACCACAGACACTGGCAGGTCAGGTAACAAATCAGAAGGCAGTGTTCCATTGCCATTCTTTTGAACCTGTTTTCAGAAATACATTAAAGCACATTTAATTACTTTGCTATCAATGGTCTGCAGACAGTGCTAAATTTATCATAAATATATTTACTGAAAAATTAAAAGTTCTGTTTTGAACTTCTCATATTTTAGCCTTGAGGCTTTGAAGCATTTCTAAATATGCAATGAGGATTCATACAAGTGGGATAGTTTTTTTTAATTAAAAATAAAGCCCCCCAAATGCATGCAAAAATACAATAGTAAGAAGCTATGTGTATAGCTCAGTTGGTAGAGCACTTGCCTACATGAGGCCCTGGATTCTGTGTGTGTGTGTGTGTGTGTATGTGTGTGTGTGTGTGTGTGTGTGTGTATGTGTGTGTGTGTGTATCTTGTGTCTGTGTCTGTTTCTGAGTGTTTGTGTTTTTGTGTGTATATATGGTGCCTTAAAAGAAAATGGTCCTCAAAGGTAGTTGCACTATTAGGAAGTGTGTGGTTTTGTTGAAGGAAGTTTGTCACTGTGGGGGTGGACTTTGAGGTCTCTTTTGCTCAAGCTTTGCTCAGTGTGACACTTAGCCCATTTCCTATTGCCTTCAAGATGTCAGACTCTCAGCTACTTCTCCAGCACCATGTCTGCTGCATGCCATCGTGCTCCCCACCATGATGATAATAGACTGAACCTCTGAAGTGTAAGCGAGCCACCCAAATCAAATGTTTTCCTTGTAAGAGTTGCCATGGTCATTGTGTCTCTTCACAGCAATAGAAACCCTAACTGAGACAGTGTGTTCCTCTGTGTGTGTGTGTGTGTGTGTGTGTGTGTGTGTTTGTATCTGTGCATGCTCATCTGTGTGTTTCTTTGTGTGTATGTGTGTGTCTCTCTCTGTGTATATGTTCCCAGTAAAGGGTAAATGGGCCACTCCTTCCACCTCCACCGTTAAGCAGAGTCCTGACAGACAAGGTAAGCTCAGATAAGCTTCCCCCTTATGATACCTATAAACAAAACAATAAAACAAGCTGTAGTACATCATATTCTTGGTAAAGTATTGGAAGTTTCCTCTCAGAAACAATACAAAGATGCCTTCATGATTAATTCCAATCAACCTATCTTGGATACCTTAAAGAGTCTAATAAGTCAAGTGAAAATAATAGACTGTATTAAATACAAAGAAAATGTAAACATTATTTTCTATAAACTATGTAAGTATATTTGGAGAAAATGCTCCCAAATGGAAGTATTAACTATTAATGGCAAAAAATAAGATTTTTAAAAGGTAAAACCATTAACTGTAACTTCAGTAGGCATGTCAATTATAAAGTATATTCTAACATGTGTATGGAAGTAAAGAAAGGCAAACATTATAGAAGAAAAGGAAGATAGAATGCTTTGCTCTTCTCATTCTGCAGAATACTTATAAAGCTGTAAGAATAAGCTGTGAGGTACGAGTACAGGATAGACAGCTAGGCAAAGCAACAAAACAAAAAAATTTGGGGAACAGGCCAGACACATGAACACCTAGCTTATAACAAAAAGAATTCTGTTGAAACAGACAAAGGACTAAATCTTTAGACAATGGGACTCTGCTCATTAGAAAACAAAACAAAATTTGACCCACCCCTACGCAACATAACAAAACACCATTGGAGCTGGGCTGTGAATCTAAGGGAAGAAAGGGGGGCATCACACAGTTTCAAAAAGATGAGATAAGTCCATGATGGGCAAGATCTTCAGGACGGTGCAGTTTAGATTCATAAATCTCCTTAATTCTCTCTCCGAAGCATTTCACACAAATGAAAGGAGCTATTTTAAAGAAAAAACTTATTATCAAAAAGCACCAGGAAAAGTGTGAGGGCAAGTCCCAGGGTGAACAAATTTACAGTACATACATTTTAAAAGGGTTATAATTTGAATGTATAACCAGCACTTTCAAGTCAATTTTTTCAAGTAACTTTTATTTTCTCAGATTATAATATAATTACATCATTTACCCTACTCTTTCCTCCCTCCAAATTTTCCCATGTTACCCTCCATCTTGCCTTCTTTCAAATTCATGGCCTCTCTCTCTTTAATTGGTGTGTGTGTGTGTGTGTGTGTGTTCCTAAGTACATAAATACAACCTATTCACTGTGTAAATCAAAACAAATTTAAAAGATAAAAAGATGTCATAAGCAAAGATGAAAAGATTCTCGACCTCACTAATATGCGGGAAAGAAATTTTAAAGTACAATGAGTTTCAAAAACATGTCTCTTAGATTAGCTAAAAACAAAGAGCAAATTGTGGAAAGATCATGAAGCTGAGAGAGCATTCATCTCTGCTATTGAGTCTGCAAGCAGATGTCAGCACAGTCTTTCTTGAAACTTGTTTGATATAATTCATTACATTGACCAGTTGCATATTGTATAACCCATCCATTCTACTAGGTGTTAAAACAACTGATACAATCACATGTATAAAAGTGATTAAGCAAGTTTCTGGTAACATTAGCTTGAAAAGGAAACAACTGATATTATCATCAAGAACAGAACAACCATACAAGTCTTTCACTTGTTTAGTTAGAATGACACCAAGATATTTTATATTATATGTGGTTATTGTGAAGGGTGTTATTTCCCTGAGCTCTTTCTTAGCCCTTTTATTGTTTTATATAGGAAGGCTACTGATTCTTTTTAGTTAATCCTGTATCTGGCTACTTCACTGAAGGTGTTTCTCAGATTGTAAGAGTTCCCTGGTAGAATTTTGGGGGTCGCTTATGTATACTATCTTATCATCTGCAAATAGCAAGACTTTGACTTCTTCCTTTCTGATTTATATGCCCTTGATCTCCTTTAGTTGTCTTATTGCTCTAGCTAGAACTTAAAGTACAATACTGAATAGATATGGAGAGAGTGGACAGCCTTGTGTTGTTCCTGACTTTAGTGGAACTGCTAAGACTCCCAGAAATAGGGGATATGTGGCCTGAACTAGCCATCTCCTGTAGCCAGGCAAGACTTCCAATGGAGAGGGACTGGAACACCAACCCTGCCTCATAACCTTCAATCTACAACTTGTTTTGTCTACAAGATGAGCTTGGGTAAAGAGGCACAGAAAATGTGGGGATGACCAACTGTGACTGGTCCAACCTGAGGCCCATGCCACTAGAGGGAGCCCACCCTTGACACTGCTAGGAGGGCCAGGACCCAGAGGCTGGATAGCTCAGAAACCTAGCATAAAACCAAAAATGACTGGCAAAAAAAAAAAAGTCAATTCAATGTAATGATGATTAATGATACTCTGCTACACTAATGGACTGGTGCCTAGCCCAGATGTCATCAGAGAGGCTTCAAGCAGCAACTGATGGAAACAGATGCCTCGACCCACAGCCAAACATTAGGCAGAGTTGGGAGAAGCCTGTGGAAGAGGGGGAGGAAGGATAGTGGGAGCCAGAAGGGTCAAGAACATCACAAGAAAATTCACGCAGCCAACTGTGGACTCATAAGAGTCACACCGACTGAACCGACAACCAGGGAGCCTGCATGGGACTGACCGAGGCCCTGTGCTTGTGTTATATTGTGTCACTTGGTCTTCTTGAGGGACTCCTGACAGTAGGAGCAGGGCTGTCTCCGACTCTTTTGCCAGCTTTTGGGACCCTGTTCCTCATGCTGGGCTGTCTTGTCCATTTAATATGAGAGGAGATGCTTAGTCTTACCTAAGCTTGAGATCCATGGGAGACCTGCCCTTTTCTGAAGAGAAATGAAGGAGGAGTGGGTGGGGTACAGAGCAGTGGTAGGGGTTAGGGACTGCAAGGAGAGGATGGAGGGAAAACTGTGATCAGGATGTAAAATAATAATAAATCAGTTTTTAAAAAGAGCAGCACGATAGGACTGAGAGCGTAGGTCAGCGGTAGAGTGTTTGCCTCATAAATTCAAGCCCCCAGGATCAATCCTCCGCAGCCAGCAACAGCAACAGAATAGAGCTGTACAACTAAAATGTAAATTTCAGCATTGGGCTGGGCTGGTGTAGCTCAGATGTACAGTATATGCTTAGCACTCACAAAGGTTCAATGGCAACACCACAAAATAAACAAATTATAATAGCTTTTAAGATGAAATACTTGGGTCTGTAGCAACAGCTAGACATAAATACATGAATGACCCTCACATCATACTTTTGAGTAAAATAGAAGACATACACTATGTAATCAATAAATGTAGTTACAATTTGACTTCCCCAATAGAAAATTCAAAAAATAGATAAACGGCTCTGTTACAAAAATCATGGTCAAAGTAATCTTGCAAGGGAGGAAGGGAAGGGAGGCAGAGTCCATGGGACTGCAGCTGCTCAAGCTGTGTCTCTTGATGTGAGTGGTGTTGGCATAAGGATCTGTTTTGTGACATTCCATTGACACTATACAGTTATGCCTCAAGCACTTTTCTGTTAATGTGTGACTATTCCATGGAAGTTTAATTTTTTAAAAAAGAGGACATCTTAGGAAATAACAAAAAAGTTTCACACCCCAGACATACCATCATTTTATGAACTGAAATTAGAACTTCTAAGAATCCCTCCCGACCCCTCCTCCTGTTCTGATAATGTTCTCCTCTTTCCCAATATCTTGGAAGTTAATAACGTCATTGGTAATGCTTTCCCTGAAATCCACGGAGAGTGAGGTTAGTCCTGTGAATCTTGCCTATAATAGTCCTGTCCTATGGTCTGGCAGTCTGTATTTCATCGAAACAAAAGGGTATCAACATAATTAACATGTGCAAAATATTTATTATTGGGTAACTTACCAAAGATAATTGTGTCAAATTGTGTAGATAATTGTGAAGAATGTAGATTGACTGAGATTTTTTTTACTCTTTATGACTTTGAAATATACTCTGTGTCATACGCACAAGGTATCCCTCAAATCACAGAAGTGATAATTATCTTATAACAAGGATTATACACACACATACATACATATATATACATATATATATCAATTTGGAAGAAAATTGAAGTAAAATAAACTTTAGAAAATGTTTTGGGCATACTTCTCTCTTGAAAAATCAAAACCATGACATTTTAAGACCACGAAATCTTGCAGCAGAAGAAATGAAAATCGCATACCTCGGTGACTGCTATAGAAAAGCTGAAGCTGGGGAGAGTGGTGAGCGCCACACACATCAGCAGCACAGGTCTCCTAGCAAAGGAGAAAAAATAAGCAACAGCAATAACACAGCACATTCACAGTTCCTGTCATATGTCCCTAATTTCATAGTTCCTCTTTCATTCATCTATAGTTTTTCTAAGAATCTCACTGCTTCCCTATTTCCATTTCCCAAATGTTTGAGTATGGCAAAGTAACATGTGCAGGAAAAAAAAAACAGAATTCTTTTCTCCAACCAAGGGCTGAGAGATTTCCAAATATCCCAAATAATTAGCAAACTAGTGATTGAGATATGAAACAAATATCATGCTGCATTTTTATGGCAGGGAAAGCTCAAATAGGTGCTTAGCTTCTTGAATGACAATCAACAAAAGACAGAGCTTTTGGGTGTAGGTTGTGTGAGTGCAGACACATACAGGGCAGCCTGTGAGTGGAGGTCAGAGGATAACGTGGGATTATACTCACCTCCACCTTGTTTGAGGGAGGGTTTCTCATTATTTTAACACTGGGTGTGGTGGACTGGCCCATGAATTTCTGGAGAGTCTCCACTCCCTAACTCCTAACTCCCTATAAAAGCAGAGTCTGGCCCTTCATGAGGGTTCTAGAGAACTGAACTCAAGTTCTTATGTTTGTGGGACAAGCACTTTAACCACTGAGCCATGTTGTCAGCCTATCAAAACTTTTTCGTTACAGTATTTACCTCCTCTTTCCCTGAACACCTTACACTCGTATAAAGTGCTTCACGTATAAGAAGTTTTGAGTTGGTAACAATTTCTCCTTGCTTCTGCCATGCCTCTCTTACCTCAGCTCCATCTTAGACACAGGCATAATTAACAAGGGAGACAGCAACCCCTCTGTAAGCCACACCCAGTGCAAATGACTAATGATAAGTTGATGGAGGAAGTCCTTTTGTGTATATGTTTGTCTGATTGGTTGATAAATAAAGCACTGTTGACCAATAAGGAAGCAAGATAGGTGGAAGTAGGAATCGAGGAGGATTCTGAGAAATGTAGTCAAGGGTGGGGAGTCCTCGGAAAGATCAGTCCTTATAAAAAATATATATTAGTAATTGTAGGTTAATAATTAAGTCAGAGCTAGCCATTAAGAAACCATAGCAAATGACCAACAGCTCCATAATTAATATAGTGTCTTGTGTGTTATTTGGGGGCTGAGACAGTGGTGGGATCCAGGCAGCTGACAGAGAGCAATACATGTTACAATAGGTATGATGGGATTTAAAGTTGGTATATCAGAAACTAATCATTTTGTTCTTTTTAATAAAATAAAAATATAAAGGAGAAAGTTGGTTGCTTTGCTTGGTGTCTCAAACCAGAACTACAATCCTGCAACATGAGGCTATTTAAAGGGACCGTGACCTAGCATATGTGGGGTTCTCATCGGTTCTCATCTTTGGAACCAACTTCTGAAAAAATAAAAAGGATGTCGAAGGGATTATTCCAGGGATCTTCTCTAAACAGTCTCCCTCATTCCCAGGTTTATAGTTACTAACCTACTTTTCCAGGACACTCAATACATACTGTACCAACTGATATCTCTACCTGAATGTTGCGGAGGCAATTCAGACTAGATGTGTCTAAAAAACAATGACAGTCCCACCCACGCAGTCACTCTAACACATCACTCCATCCTCTCTGACTTCCTGCAAAAATCCAAGTCCAGCCCATCCTCTGCTCACACCATAGTCCATTCACTATCATCTCTCAACTGTAGCGTTTCTAACAGGGTTTCCTGTTAGAGTTTCTGTTCTTGAAACCATCTAGTGTCTTCCTCTATTGGTCTCTGCCTTACACTTGGAGACAGGGTATCCTGAACCTCACCCTTTCATCTAGACTCTGTGCCCAGTGATCTCTCTGTATCCACCAGTTTCTGCCCCTGCAGTGCTGGAGTTACAGTGCACACAGCCACCATGCCAGGCTTTTTACATGAGTGCTGGGGATTCAAACTCAGTTTCTCATGCTGGCACCCTTCTCCATCTCACTATCTCCCCTAAAATTACATTTAAAATGTAAAACGCATTTTGTTGTTCTGTCTCCAAAGATGTTAGGCTTGGGGCAGGGGTGGAGAATTTGTGTTTAATGGGCACAAAGATTCAGTCTTGAAAGATGAGAAGGGTTTATCGACAGATGGTTGACAGTGATGGTAGCCCAGCAACACAAATGCATTTAATACCTCTAGCTGTACACAAAATGGTTAAGGTCATAAATTTTATGTTATGTCTATTTTACTACAGTCACAGATACCGCTAATGGATGTGCAATGCAGCTGGAATACAGTGGAGTCTTCTCACCCAAGCCCACACCTTCTTCAAGAAATCCTTTCCCTCCCTTCTTCTAGTTTCCTCCTTTAAAATGGCCTGCCTTAATGGATGACACTAGAAGAAACCATCCTGAGTGAGGTAACCCAGTCACAAAAAGAGAAACATGGCATGTACTCTCTCATATATGGATTTTAGACATAGATCTGGGGAGTGCCAGCCTACAATCCTATGGCCAGAGAGTCTGGGAAACAGAAACTTTATTTAGTGGCTGATCGAGGAAGAGGCAGACTCCCTTGGTTAAGTACTGAGCTGAACTCAAGAAAGCCAGTAACAGAGAGGGAGGACTGATGATCAAAGGGATTAAGACTGGGCTGGTTTAACCCCCAGAAACAGCTGACCAGACAAAGGTTAACTCTTGAATCCCAGGCATTAGCCTGGGAAGCCAGCATGGGACTGATCAAGACCCCCTGAATCTGGGTGTCAGTGAAGAGGCCTAGGGAATCTATTGAGCCTTGGGCAGCAGATCAGTACCCATCCCAAGTATACACACGGACTTTGGACTCCAATAGAACAATGTGAGGTGCACTCTCACCCTGAACTCTTGGGAAAGGGTCTAGGCCCTGCCCTATATGAAATGACACACTATGGACACCCCCATGGAGGGCCTCACCCTCCCTGGAGAAATGAGGGGATAACGGGGGGGGGGCATGGGAGGAAGGGAGGGAATGGGAGAGGGACCTGGAACTGACTTGTGAAGCAACCTTGATTCTTATCTAAATTTAAACTGGAAAATAAAATTAAAAAAAAATAACAAAAATGAAAAATAAAATAAAATAAAATGGCCTGCCTTTCCTGCCCCTACTTAACTCCAGCCATTCCAGCTATCTGGTCATCTCTTCATGCTGGCTTCTCCTCAGTCTTACACCATCTGTGTCTCCTGCTAGGGGGTTCTGACATATCTGCTTTGGTGGAGTCTGGTTCCACGTCATCGTCAGTTTCTCCCACTTTGGTCATTTTCTCACATTCCTTCTATACATGATTTATGCATTTGACTTTTATGCCTCCTTGAAATCCTACTGGTTTTCTTCTGTTTTTATTTGTTTGCTTTTCTTTTTTGGCTTTTCACAACAGGGTTTCTCTGTGTTACAGTTCTGACTGTCCTGGAGCTCACTTTTTAGACCAGGCTGGCCTTGAACTCACAGATTGACCTGCCTCTGCCTCTAAAGTGCTGGGATTAAAGGCGTATGCCACCAACACCCAGCTTTTCTTCTGCTTTTGTTACTGGCCCTCTTCCTCTTTCTTCATCTCACAAAACTGAACTTAAATGGCTTATTCTTTGTTTCTACCATCTCAAATACTGTTTCTGAATCATTTCATGTATAAAAACCAGCCGGGAATCTAGTGACTCCTGAGGTATCCTCTCGGGTTAAATATAAATAAGTAAAATAAAATACAGACTTTCATAACAGATTAAAATGAAACTATCTAAACTTTTAAGAATAATTCCATAGGCCTCTAACCTTCTTACAGAATTACATACAATTATTCAAGTTCTTTGGAATGTTTTAGCACAGTAACGCATGTAGCTGCCTACAGATGTATTTCACCAGTTGTGGAGCCCTTAAAACCTAATGGAGACTGTAACCACTTATAATATCAATGTAATTACTATTGTGAACCAGATTATAAAGTATCTGCTATATCTGCCATGTGGCATGAATAGATCATGTGATAAGTTATAATTCCTGATCATAGTGCTATAGGTTGTTCCCAACATTTATATTGTGTAAAATGATAGCTTTCACTGACAAGATATTTGTTCATAACCTGTTCCATTAGTTTGGTACAGTGCTATAAAATATCTACTACATACTAAACTAATGGGATAGTTAATAAGTAAATACCAACCCCTGCTTAGGTTTTCTTTAATGAATGTTTGAAATCTTCACATATATCTAGGTCCTGCCTATAATTTGTTAATAAGATATATAAATTAAGTGATATACTCACCTAAAAGACATGCTGAAATCCCAACTCTCCAGTACCTTGGAACACAACTCCATTTGGAAATCAATTTTTACATGGAATGATCCAATTAAAATAAGATCATTAGAGTGGGCCCTAACCCAATATAATCAATATTCTTATAATACAGACTAGCATGGAAAAAAAGACATGGAAACATTGGGAGAATGTCATATGGCAGTAAAAGCAGAAATCTTGGTGATTTCTGTATTAGCCAAGGAGTGTCACAGACTACCTAAATCCAGCAGAGGCTAGGACAAAGGTCGGAAACAGAGTTCCCTCACATCCCTCAGCACTAATCCAGCCAATACCTTATCTCAGGCTTCTGGACTCTAATCCAGTGAACAATAAACTTGTGTTGTATCTACCATGTGGCTGAGGGCACTTTGTTCTAGCATTTATGGAAGCAAATAGAGATTTGCCACTGGGAGAGAGATGCTACTGAAATATCTGAAAAAACATACTTGGCTTTGGAAGTGAGTAATGGGGAACTTTGGAGATGTGTGGCAGAGAAGCAGAACACGTTGGTGAGGTTGTTGGCGGAAATGTAGGTATAGGAGATTCTTAGCTGGACTCGGAGAAGACAACAGGATGGCTCATAGAAAACGTCTGTCATCTCAGAAAACAGACATGCTTTGTGAACAAACAACTGCTAGAAGTTTGACTGGCGAGGAACTTCTGATGTGTAATGGAGAAACAAGGGACGTATCATTGGGACCTGGAAGGCAGG